AAGGCGAACTAAGCTCAAGCCGACCTCGGCCACACACACACACTAAGCAAAGAACAAAATCATGCAAGCAACTTTAAGCAAATCAAGGCAAGACAAAACCTTCAAATTAACATAACAAAGCAAGATCATGCAAGAATGTATGCAAGTATGACAAGAGAAAGGTGAGGGTTGTTACACAACTACGGGAAAAACCTCTTCAGGTGCCCAGGTTGTCCACACTGATAACAAGACAAGGGCTGCCCCCTGCCCAAACTCTGACTCTGCGGTCTTGCTGAAGAAGAAGCAGCTCTCTGACCCCCACCCTTCTGCGGGCAAACAGAAACCTTGTGACCCAATTGGCCACACTTGTAACAGGTGAAATCCCCCTGACCACCTCTCCCGGAGCCTGCACTCGGCACACCCAGCTGGCCACACTTGTAACAAGTGAATTCTCCCTGACTGCCTCTCCCCGAGCCTACACTCGGCACTGGAAAGGTCGATCTAGAGACTGCACCCTGAGACTGCTGAGGGTTATAACCCTTCTGTCTCCTGCCATCACTCTGACTATCCTGGCTCCTCTTGGAGCCCCTCTGTTCTTCCTCCTCCTCCTGCATCATAATCTCCATATGAGCAGCAGCATCAACTAGGTGTCTATACTCTCGGATGTAAGACCCACCAACTCTCAACTTGAGGCCCCGCCTCAACTTCCGCTCAAACTCATAGCAACGGCGTTCCTCAGACGCCACCAGTTCCGGTGCAAACCTGGACAGACTGGTAAAAGTAGCCTCAAACTCGGCCACTGACAAGCCCTGCTGTTTAAGCCGGCTAAACTGGTCCCTCAGCTTCTCCCTAGCTGCTGCAGACAAAAACCTCTCCTGAAAAGCATTCACAAATGCCTCCCAAGTACCACCAACACGAGCCTTCTCAAACTTCCACCATTAACCCGCATCTCCCTTCAGTTGGAAGGATGCCAAGGTCACTTTCAGTGCTTCGTCCTCGATGCCAAGCATCTCGAATGTCTTACTCATTTGCTCTAGCCACTCATCAGCCTTCAGTGGCTCCTTCGGATCCCCAATAAACTCATCCGGATTAAATCGGAAGAACTCCCTCTTCAAGAAAGAAGGCCCTGCCTCAGATGCCTGATTCCCAGCTCTAAGAATACCCAAAGCTCCTGCTATCTCTCTGGCCAAGGCACCCATAGCCTGCTGACCCACTGGCTCGGCCACATTGGCCTGACCAACTCCCTCCTGCACTGCCGGAATCTCACCCGGTAACGGTACTTCCTGCCTCGCAGGTCTACCACGCCTAGCACCTCCTCCTCGTCCTGACATCCTAATAAAGGCAACACAGAACATTAGCACATTCATAAATGTGCCAAAACTAAACACCCACGTCCTAATGCACGGACAACAGTAATTCACTCCACGTAAGCACATAAACACATAAGCACTCACCAGAAACTCATAATGGCCATACCGCGTACGGAATGCCGTCTTAGGAATATCCTCCTCCCTGACCCTCAACTGGTGGTAACCCGATCTCAAGTCTATCTTAGAGAAACAACGGAAACCCTTCAACTGTCAAACAAATCATCTATACGGGGCATAGGATACTTATTCTTAACCATAGCCCGATTCAACTTCCGGTAGTCAATACACAATCTCAAGGCACCATCTTTCTTTTTAACAAAGAGGAATATATATGGTTATTCTAAATACTAGATACTTGAATGTATACATCATATCATTATGTATGCCACTATTTGTAAATAGAATAATAATTTTGACCATCAGATAGTTAGATTCATTATTAATGGATTTTCAGACATCCTTAAGGGACGGTGGGATAATGTTCTCACTTCCGCTCAACAAAATGAGGTGTTGAATGCCATCAAAACCGAAACAAACCGTATTAGTAATACTCCTACTCAACGAGAGGATGCAGTTTATACTTCAATCCAGACAATTCTTTATCATTTTATTGGGAGCAATACAGTTAATGATGATCGTAGCCATGAATTACTTCAGAACCTTAGATGCCCATCTTTAACTCATTTTCGATGGAACAAAGATGTGTTTTTATTAAAAGTTATGTAGAGACCTGATGCTAACAGTAGCCATTGGAAAGCCAAATTTATTGATGGC